GGGTATCTAGGCCAGTCTTTTGTTATAATTATACACAGTTATCTAAGTTAGTCCTTTATTATAATTATACACGGATATGTAAGTCAGTCCTTTGTTATAATTATACAAGGATATCTAAGTCAGTCCTTTGTTATAATTATACCTGGGTATCTAAGTTAGTCCTTTATTATAATTATACCTAGGTGTCTAAGTTAGTCCTTTATTATAATTATACCTGGGTGTCTAAGTTAGTCCTTTATTATAATTATACCTGGGTGTCTAAGTTTGTCCTTTGTTATAATTATACACGGATATCTAAGTCAGTCCTTTGTTATAATTATACCTGGGTATCTAAGTTAGTCCTTTATTATAATTACACCTGGGTATCTAAGTTAGTCCTTTATTATAATTATACCTAGGTGTCTAAGTTAGTCCTTTATTATAATTATACCTGGGTGTCTAAGTTAGTCCTTTATTATAATTATACCTGGGTGTCTAAGTTTGTCCTTTATTATAATTATACCTGGGTATCTAAGTTAGTTTTTTATTACAATTATACCTAGGTGTCTAAGTTTGTCCTTTATTATAATTACACACGGTTATCTAAGTTAGTCCTTTATTATAATTATACACGGTATCTAGGTCAGTCTTTTGTTATAATTATACACAGTTATCTAAGTTAGTCCTTTATTATAATTATACACGGGTATCTAGGTCAGTCTTTTGTTATAATTATACACAGTTATCTAAGTTAGTCCTTTGTTATAATTATACACGGATATCTAAGTCAGTCCTTTGTTATAATTATACACGGATATCTAAGTCAGTCCTTTGTTATAATCATACACGGATACCTAAGTCAGTCCTTTGTTATAATTATACACGGATATCTAAGTCAGTCCTTTGTTATAAGTATACACGGATATCTAAGTCAGTCCTTTGTTATAATTATACACAAATATTATGTGATGTCTAAACCACGGACTTCTTTAACTCTAGATATATATTTATACGCTTATGTTTAATAATTTATAATTATTTTTGTATGAAACACTGTAAACAGCATAATAAATAAAATAATAGTCACGTTTTGTAATAGCACTTATAAAACATGTTTATAAACTCACTAATATATCATTATTCCATGCTACATTTAAATATTATTCATTTACTAGCACAAACCCGCAAAACATTTCCGGCCAAATTAGTATGTTTATCGTAACAGTACTTCTTTAAATATAACAGTTCTAGCACAATACAAACGAATTGTAATCGTAGACAACGAAATGTGTAAATCCACTTGTATGTAGGCCGTACTTTATAAAACTTTAACTTATGTTAGGTCTAAGTGCGATAAAGAGATAAATTAACACTGTAACCTGAGTAAGTTTTTTTTTTTTTACTTTAGTTTAGTTAGGACTAAACTTCACTGTACTTAATACTATCGATAAATAAACCTATAATGTTATTCTGTGACCTAACGTCAAACCTTGTTTAAAAACTTTGATAATTTTTTAATATTCTGTTGTACGAAAATGGTTAGTAAAGTATATTTACATTCCCCTTTTGTTGTTACTTCTTGTTTCATACAGCAATTGTAGCGACTTGATCACTGAGCTTTGCAGCTCTCTGCTGCAGGCAGACTGTTTGTTGTCGAGTGAATAATGTGCATGCGCGGTTTTTCTTGGGGAAACATTCTAACTACGCATGCTTATGCAGCAGGTTCTTGGTCAGAAAATGTAATGGTCGTACAAACAAACAAGCAGAATAATAGTATAGATAATTTTGTTTTTTAGGTATTTGAAAATAGCCCTGGAAGTGAACTAACAGAAAAGTTCAGTGATATTGTCCCATTCTGCCAGATGGTTTGCAAACTGATGGTATCAGAAATAAGAAGGCGGGCATCAAATCAAAGTACTGGTAAGGGTCAAGCTTCTTGTATTATTTTGTCAGCAGTTGAAAGTTTGTTTATTCTTAAATGGTACCAGTTATTGATGAAATTAGAAATATTTTGGTAGTACTAAATTGCTATAAATATTTATTTAAATTTAATAAAAAACAAATGAAGAAAACATGGTTGTTTTAGATCATAACTATTTTGAAAAAAGAAACAAATCCCTTCCAACTTAAGTACTGAAGGAATTAAATTTTGTCCATAGAGCAAACTTCTTTGGTTTCGGCTTCAGTTTATATTTTGTACCATTTGCTTTAAACACTTAAAAAAAATAAAATGATAACACATGATTATAGAATAAGTATTGTTTGACCTCCACTACTTTGAGGTTTAAGTTATGAAAATTTTTTTCCTTAACCCAAGCAAAGGTTTTTAGCTAGTTTGGTTTTTTTAGTGTGAGTGTGTGATAGAAGGACTACGTTAGAGCTATTTGTATTTAAAAGCACTGTATGTATAGATAAATACATGCAAAAATATCTTATCTAGAATGCTTTATGCCAAGTTTGAATCACCATATACAGTGATAGTTAAAAATACACTGTAGTATGTTGAATGAACTTGTTTATGTATTCTAGTTACGTGTATCTATATCTTACTTTCCGTATTTCTCTGTTAGAAGCTGCAAGTTGTGCAATAGCAAAGTTTCTAGAGGTAGAAAGTATAGAAGACCAAAGCAATGGATGGATACTTCTTACAACTGTCAATTTGCTGGCTGCAGGAGACTCCTCGGTTATTGAAGTTATGGCTCTTACGTCTCTACCGTCAACCTTGGTAAAATGCTTGTATCTGTTTTTTGATCTTCCTCAAGTAGACGAATCTCAGGAATGTGATGGAAAAAGTGAATTTACACCCCGAGAGTGCCGTATTCTCCTGCAGAAAGTATTTGTGCAGGTATAACTTTGTTTACTTCTTCACAAACAGGTGTTTCAATATTGAATTATAACACAGCTTTGTTTTTAGTTTGCATTCATTCTTGTCTTTAGTTAAATGTATATTTACTAATGTTACTGATAAAGTAGTTTGGATTATTTTCAATAGATATGTAAGCATGTATTTTCAAAGAGTATTGAAAAGCCAGAGTTAAACCAGATGTGATGGTAAAGGATAGGTGTCTGTAAGGGCTAAGATGGGCTAGTTTAGATTTTCATGAAAATTTGCACAAATTATACTGATGGATATTATAGATTGCTTGTGATATCTCTACCATATTACTGGTCTGTATATGTTAATTATATGATATTTACTTTATCATATTTATTACGCAGAATGTCAATTTGAAACAGACCTTAGATTCATGTACTGTTCCTAACACTTAAATTATTCTACAGTTATTGTAATGTCATCTGTATCACTCTAATTAGGGGAATTCCAATCATCTACATGCTACTTGTGTGGTGTTAGAAGGAGCAATAATATGTCCCGATAGTGGTGGAATCATAAGTACTATAAAACAGATGCAGTATGATCACAGAATCTCACTGTCCTTGTTCCTCATTGACAATACCAGCTGTGTATTGTGGTTAGATTTTCTGTTTTTAGCCCAAGACAGTGATGTATCGGACAAGCTAGAATAATAAAGTAATTAGTTTTTTCCCCTTTGTTAAATTGGAATTTACTCTAAAGAAGAAGGAAGATAAAAGTTTTATTCAATGGTAGTTGAGTGTAGCAAAAGATAAAAAGCTTTCAAAAAATGAGTATGTTCACTGGTGTTCAACTTGTATTGTGAAATTTGCTGATATTATAAAAATGACTAAGTTTAAGAAATGTTTTTCATAGATGTCAAGAAGTTTTTTGACTGATCAATTTGTCTCTGTATTTATCCTTCACCTGAGGAAAGTTGTGTGGAATTTTTGTTTAACAAAATGTTTTTGTGACATATAAGAACCAAAAGTGTTACATAAAATGATAACACATTTATTCTAATAATATCATTTATTTTTTTGAAGGTTGAGTATAAATTCCTTTAATAGATCCGTTGATCAGGATCCACCACTTGCGAGACGAATCTTTATGAGGCAGTCGGCATTGTGATAACTGGGACTTTTGATCTTTGATTTTAATGCTTTTGATAAGAGTTGCTTAGTGTGTTTAGGTGATTGTGAAGAGATTGTGATTAACAATTGTCATGCTGTGAATCCTTTTTTTTTTCAAAGGTGGTGAAGGGTGATTATGATAAATTGTATTTATGGTAAGATTGTGATAAGTGATGATACTTTTTTTGTACAGATTTTAGTGAGAATGTTTAGCCATCCGGTCTCAGCAGAAGAACTTGCTCGGAAGGACGACCTCACGCTTTTGTTCAGTGCCATCACTAGCTGGTGCCCAGTACACAATACTGTCTGGAGGAAGAGTTCATCGGAAGTTCTTATGACCATCTCACGTCACGGACTCACAGATACTGTTGTTAGCTACATTCATAGTAAGTAATTTTAATTGTATGTTAGTTTTAAATGTAAAGGATCTCAGAAAGTTAAGCCTTGGAAATTCTGTGAGTGATTAAGTAGATTTTGTATGAAACATTTCTTACACCTCTATACCATATCTCAGTTATTTGTTAAATTCTTTTTTTTGCAGAGGTACAAACTGAGTAACATAAATTTTTTTAATATGTAGTGATTGAAATGCTACTCAGATTTTATATATTTAAGACAAGGCATGAATGCTGTTTTTATTTTAACAAAATATGAAGTATATATCTTTCTAAGAACGTATGTGCTAGTTTACCGAAATGAGTATTTTGACTAACTAATGGGTATATTTAATAATAGAAAAATTAAGATTATGTTAGAGTAGTTGAATATTATTTTGATTTATAGAACCAGATTTCTCAAGATTAACGTTTTAGTTAGTCAGACTCTTGATAAAAATTAGTTTCGTAGTTATTTAGCATAATCATCTTAACACTTGTTCTGCATTGACAGTTTGTGTGTTGGACATTCATCAATCATTCAATAAAAGTGCTTTAACAACATTAAACTGTTTTATCTTCATTTGTCAGGTATTATAATAATAATAATAGCTCACACCTTTGGCCTACTTTGAATCTATTCAGAAACCATTGCCTTGTTTTGATGCCTTATTTATTATACAACTAGCAGAGTACCTGGTGTTGCTTGGATGAAAATGGCTTTAAATATCCTGAGTTGCTTTAATTAAATCAACCATATTAATCATGATTTTTTTTGCAAAAAAATCAAAATGATTTCTTTACCTAACTAAATACTTTGATTACAATCAATAAAAATTACAATGTGCAAAAAAAAAATTGCTAAAGCTATTTTAATCAAAGCAAAACCGAGTACATTGCTCCTGCTTCTTGCATGTGCTTTGCATGACATTTCAAGTTTCCAAAACAAAATTCCCCACCTTTTTGTGTCCTGGTTTCTGCTGTGTGGTCAAGTGTCGTTTGCAGTGTATTCTGACTTTATTGTCGTTCCATTTAATGAAGAATTGATTTATTCTCTTGCCGATACCGAACGTATCTGTAAAGTCGTCGTATTGCTGATTCTTGTGAGTACACACAAGCAAGGCAGAAGATATGGCTGAAGCAAGCCTATTTAGTTTAGGGAGTGTGAGTGTATGTTTGAGGGAAAGTAACAGCCTTTTTGAGTTAAGGGGAGTTAGTGTGTAGGCATGTATGTGTAGAAGAAAGAGAGAAGGAGGGAAAGAGCACAAATGAAGGCTCCACAAAGTTTTTAGATAGTTTTAACACATAATTGATCATGGGTAGAATGATTAGGAGAAGTCCTCGCACAGAGAAGAAACATATATAATAGCCCTCATCAACATTATCAAACAAATCCGGCTCCTTCAATTGGAGGCCAACTAGTTTACCCCATTTGCCAAAAATTGCTATGTTGGTCACTTTGGCCTGAATTTGTGGCCTCAAAATGGCCTCTGAGCCTGCAGCCACATAGCCCATATTATATCCTGCAAAAAGTTGTATACCCTGAGTTTGGAATTTGTAGCTCTAAAGGTGTGGCTGTGCATAAGGAACAGACCCACAGAGAGAGGGAGGGAGACATTCCCGTTTATGTATATAGATCTCCCAGTCTTCCTCTTTTACGACTAAAGGATTAATATCTACAGGATCCAGGTCATTACAAATGCTTGTTGTCAGTAATATTGCTAACATCTCTTGTTAAAGCATGAGAGAATAAAACATTTTAAAGTTAATCACCTCATGATCTTCAGCAACTAGTGGTTGGTTGGTAGCTTTAAAGATTCGTTATTGTGTTCATATCAAATGTTGTGCAATATGCTCTTTAAGGCATTCTATTACACAAAATGTGTATTTGTTTGCATTCTAACTCCTCTGAGCCTATTGGGCCAATCTCAACCAAAATTTGTATGTAAACACTATGAACTATCGGAAAATGTTCTAAGGTGGTCAAAATTGAACTTAACCCTATTTCTATTTTGTAAAGCCATTTGGTTAATTACTTACAATCTATTGAGTCAATTTCAAACAATCTTGACAGGTTGACACTTTAGACTATGTGGAATATTCTAAGGGATTCAAGGTCAAAGAATGAAAGTTGCTGGATTGTTTCTCAAACAACGATGCTTTTCTTATGGTCAATGAGATGTAGGGTGTTCAAGGTTGTGATCACCTCAAAATCTTTATTTGTTGGTAGATGAAAAGCAAATCACAAATGTTGTTAATTAAGAAGTTTTGTTATAATTTTACAATTTTGAGATAAAGTTTATGTTGAAGTTATTATTTTGAAATATATGACTGCTGTTAAACTTACATTGTTTTAATTAAGTTTAAACATTTGATTGATGGGTATTTTAGCTTGTGTATTATATTTACGTGTCGTGATGATGAGTTCATAAACATGAGATTAATGATTTCAACTGTAAACCTAGGCCATGAAAAAACTTAATAGATAGATGTACCTGAATTATAATCTTTTGTCATTGGCTACAGAAATATGATGGTCAAACATATTTTAGGTGTAGTTAATTTGTGTAAAATTTGGCAAATAAGGAATAGCTTTTTTAAGGTTAATTAAAATAAGTCATGTTTATACATACACGATTTAATACAGCTTATTTTCATATTGTTCAAGAAGAACTACAGCAGGCTGGTTTAAAGATAGATGTACCGTTTAATAAACAGAAATATTTGCTTACAGGTAAAGGGTGTGTTGCCCAGTGTGTGGAAAACATGCAGCGAGTTCAGGAGCTTTCCCCATTGGAGATTGTTGAGATGTTTGTCACAATATTTTGTTTTTTGAAAGATTCCAGTGAAGTCTCTCAGCTTCTACTTGACGATTTCCGTTCATGTCAAGGTTATATATTTATATCAGAATTCCTCTTAAAGTGAGTATTTGGATCTTTTGCTGAAAATATCTTAATTGCTCAGATGCCTATTTTTTTAATGTTGTAAAGCTCTTATGATTAAACATGTAAGATACCAGTTTGTGCCACAAACTGAGTTGTAATTTGCGTCAGCAAATGTATTTGGAGGTGGTATTCAAAACTGTATGATTAATGTAGACATAATTGTTTTTCGTCTCAGGCTAAAGTAGTCATTCTCAAAAAAAGAACAAATAAACAAAATGCTTTTGAGAAAAATATAAAAATGTATTGTACTTTTGAACTTGGAATATTTTTCTGGAGTATCAAAATGAGTGCTAATGGGGTAATTCCAATTTGTTGTACATTAAATACTTATGCTAGTTTGCTTTCCAAGAAGCTGAAACTGAAAGCTGGGTAACAGTAAGTTGAGGATTTGTGTATACGTTTGACTGAAACCATTGTCTGTATTTACAACCATACATCTTAAGTTTACAAATCTGCTATATGCGTATGCAAACAAAGTGACTGTTGTTGTTGTGTGTTTGGGTACTTAGACTGAGTGATTGTTTTTTTCATGTTGTGTAAAGCTAAAAGATTAGGTAAGTGATGTAATTGCCTGTAAACCATGTAATGTGAAAGAATTTTTTTTTTTGTCATTATATAGGCTTGAAAGAGAAACCTCACTAGAAGCCTGTGAAGCTCTTCGTAATCTTATACTATTATTGGCCTCCCTGACCACTTGTGGATTTTTTGAGCTAAAACCCAGCCATGCTACTTCAGGAAGTCTCTTTCAAATCCCAGGATTTGTGTTACCTCAGCCTATGGGGAGAGGTTAATTATTATATTTTTCAGATACTGTTTGTTTACCTTATAATTAAACAAAGTTGTGTAGGAACTGGTGCCCCTATACAAATGCTTTGAATTAACTTTCGTACTGCATGCTATTACTAATAGTCTGTTACTGGGACTGTTAAAGCGATAACTCTGAAACTGTTCTAATACTTCCATTATCGATTTGAAAACATTACTGTGTTATCCTTTTTTAAATTTAAGAAATATTAATAAATAATAAGCTTTACCACTTCATTGTGGTATTTTTAAATCAAAATTTTAAAGTATTTTTGAATAGCTTTCATTTTTCAAGTATCGTATTATTTAAAAAAAATTGATATTTAATTTGTATATTTCAGCTCAGAAGATAATAAAGATCCTTTCATTTTAAATCTAAACTTCAGATAATTGCAGTTAACTAACATTTATGTCCTTCCTCAGTTAGCCAGACTGAGAAGAGCATCTTTACTTGAAACTACGGTTTCTAGGTTTCCAATAGGATGTAAGATGGGCTTTGATGACTGACGTGTCCTGAACTGTATTTTGGAAGTTGAAATTACAGCTTGCTCTGTGCAGCATTTTAATTTAATTGGATAACTAATACAGGATATCATTGTAGTTAATCTGAATAACTAATACAGAATATTATTGTAGTTAACCTTGAGCCATGCATTCAGCAAGATTTGGACAAGTGTATAATGACTCTAATGGTTTAAAATTTCAGCCAGTCGTGAACATTGAAATGTTGTTCTACTCTTTTGATTTAATCTCTCCAGATGATCCCAGAGATGTCCTATAGGGTTATGGACTGGATTCAGGGTGCTCGATTCTAAGACATTAACAAAGTTGCTTTGAAACCAGGCGTGAATTTAATGGTCAAGGTCCAAATTACTTTATTTTCAAAACTGAATAAAGCAGCAAAATACACTAAATTGTTTGTAATATTGTTATTTAATTTTGTTTTGTTTAGAAAAGGTGATGGAAGTCAGATTGTTTTTACATTGTAATAAGTATAAATAGTCTTTTTTTATGTTAATGGTTTGGGTGGAGAGTCTTAGTAAAAACATAACTACTAGGTATTTTATGGGCAGTTTTAGGAGAAGGGTGGTTGAAGCTGGGAAGAGATTTAAGTTTCATATATAGCTGAAGCTGGCTGCATGTTTTGTTCTCTCAAAACAGTTATTGAGACACATAGTAATGAAATATTTATCATAGTTATTTTAATCTATTGTGTTAATCGAATATAGACCCCCCTCCCTTTAGCTTATATGTAAATTATAAGTATTCTGTATTTTACACAAATTTTTCTGTTAATGTATTTTTCAAAAAGAAAGATTATTGTGGTTACCATAAAAAATGGTGTTAACATGTACAGGTTTTATCTTGAAGAAAACTGTACTTAAAATACTTTGGTAAGTCTCCAAAAATGTCAAGCTTGGATTTGTTCTTTTTCATGACTAGAAGTCTGTGTAATTCATAAACATATTTTTTTTGTAAAATAGGTACTAGTGTGAGGAATATTCAGGCTTTTCAAGTTCTTCTTACAACATTTGTAAAGGTAGTATATATATATATATATATATATATATATATATATGAGAACATTGGAAAGACATGTTTTTTTTTTGGAAAAGTAAATGTTCCGGCGTATTGCACTCGCTTGATATTTTAATACAACAGTAGAAACCAAGAGTTAATAACTCAGTGTTATTATTACAAACTATGGAGTTAGCTTTTCAGTGTTTAATTCTTTATACTCATAATGTTTTGCTCATTCTGCCAGAATTATTTTCATGATGTCCTAATAATTATCATCATGCCTTATAAAATTTCTGGTTTATTTATAAAAGGTGGATGATAACATGTTTTGGATGAGTTTTCAGGCAAAGAGACATAAATGTTATTCGGTGTTGTCACTGTTCCATGAGTAAATCCGGATTTTCGGCCGGACTCTGGTAGCGTCCACTTGGGTTGAAGGATTTAATGACATTTAGATTTTTTTTTTCACTTGACACTGATGCTACTTCTTCAGGGACATTTTAATTTTGTTGAAGTAAAATATGAAATGCAAGTGCTATAAATGATAGTAATAATAGCTACATATTTTTATGTAATGCTGTAGTTGTAAAATAATTTAGCCAAACACCATTTATAGATGTTAAATTTGATTTAAAAATACTTGTACAGATGTTTGCTTTCGTTCTCTGGTGCTTAGTGGTGTTAAGCTTGAGGGCTTACACTACTAAAATTTTTGGTTCTATCCCTGTTGTGAGTCTTGGCAAATGGACTATATGCACTAAGGCCACTGCAGTGATTTAACCCCAAACTTTAGTTTGATAAGCCCTCAAGCCATGGGTGTACCCCATCAAAAGATACCAGTTATAGTCAGAAATTATCTTGTTCAGCCGAGGTATGTTCATATACTAGGCTATCAGTAGATTTGGTCTAAGTTATATATCTACGTCTGTACCATAAAGCATGGATGGCCTGCAACTGTTCTGTGCTTAAAAGTCATGGTGGGTTTTAACGTCTACTGGTATAGATTCTACCATAAACTCGTAATCTTATAAGGACAACTGATTAATTATTGTACTCTCTTCTGTTTGTTTACTAGGCACAAACGCCATATCTTTGTCACCTCCTTTTTGATGCTATCAGCACTATATATCATTCTGATAAAGCCAATTACTTCATTCTGGAATCACAGCATACTCTTTCACAGTTTGCTGAAAAAATTCATCATAAACCCGTTGATGTTCAGGTAAGTTAAACTCTATAATGGTTTTGTAGAATTAAAAGAGTTTAAGTATTGTGAAAACCTAATATGTGATTGTGAAATATACAGGATAGGTTATGGCAACTCCTCTAGTAAAGGAAAATTAAACTATAAGTAGCACATAAATCTTTCTTCATGATTAGAAATGTTCACTGCCTACCACCATTATCAATCTGTGTGTGCGATTTTTTTTCAACAGTTGACATATACAGGTTTGGAGTTAATCTGAAATTCTGAGTTAATCCATTGGTGAAGGATATCAAAATTGATTAACTTTGTAGACAATCACCTCATGAAAAGGCCACATGAAATCTTACCTCTAAGTCTGTAGGACTCTTTTGACCCAATTTACAGGATCATTTTCAAAGCTTAGAATTTATTATGTTCTGTCTTATCATATGAGGACAGGTGAATATCTCTGAAATTGTGTTTTTTATTGAAAAAGAAGAGTTGTTAAGGGAATTCATATTGTCAGTGCATCATCTTTTCTCAAACATGAGGGTGAGAATGTTAAAACTAAGGGACAAATATATAATTTTTGGGAGGAAGGAGTCATTTTCAGTTAAGACAATTTTATTTTACTAATGGGGTGGGTAGCCTTTGAGTTGCCTACAAATGTGGTGGATTCAGTAAATTTAAGGGAGTTTTAGGGAAGGCTTGATAAATATTTGAATGATAAGGGCTGGATTTGAGTTTTTTTTTTTTTCTTTATGTAGATGGATCAGCCTAAATAGATCAATAGGTCCTTTGTTATCCTTAAATTTTATGTTAAGTTTGATAACGAGGGACTCACTTTGAGACTAATAATGGCTGGAGACGGCTTGAATGGGTAATGAAGAAAAACTTGCTGTTATGTTAAACTTATATTAAAGTTTTTCTTCATTACCCATTCAAGCCGTCTCCAGCTATTATTATGTTAACTTTGTTCAATATAATGTGACCTACTGAATATTTATGATGAGAGGCTGTTATATAATGACTTGAATTTAATGAGACAATATGTTCTTAAAGTTTTTCAAATACTCAGTTAAATGTGAGCTGAATTCTTAAATTAAGTATTTTACTCCTCTGAAGTTTATTTTGCTTTTATTTTCTTACATTATAAAGATTTTTATCCCCCTGTTTTGATTGTTTGTTTGTTTATTATTGTTATTGGAGGATTAAAACTGATTTTGAAGTGTGCATGAAATAAAAAAATTCTTTCGAAATAAATAGTAATCCAATGAAAGCAACTTGCACCTTTACTGTACGTCGTAAAGTAGGTTTTCAGAGGTGCACATATATAAAAAAAAAATCATATTGATATTGCCTGTTTCTAACAACAAGTCTACATGATGCACATATAACTTTGTTGTTTTAAAGAAAATTTACAAGATATTTATTAACTCTTCTATTAGGTGAAGTTTTTCCGACTCTTGGAATTTGTTGTGAAAGATTTGAAGTTTGTACCCTGCAAAGAATTAATCAGTTTGAGCATACTACTGAAATCACAGAGGTGAGGTAACTTAACCAAAACTTAAAACCTTACTAATTTGTACACATAATGATGATAATGTGGACATACAAAATGATTCAGAGGATTTGTTTTACAGTGAAACATTTCTGTCACAGTTAATTACATTAGATTAATTTAACAGTTTACTGATAATGTGTTTGAAAATGAAGTTTAACATTATCTGTAATAGTGCTAATGCATGAGAAATACACAGAAATGTGGTTTGGCTGACAGCGTTACCAAACAAATTCAGTGTAAGACATTAAGAAAAGCTGGCTTACGACATAATGTTTTATGCAGTTTCATTATAAAAGAATGAAAGAATATATTCCATGAAGAACTTTTCTAAAATTTGAAAATTGTTTTATATGTTAACTTCGTCTTTGTGGGCAACATTGTGATATGTTTTAAAGTAATGTGTGTTGACATTTTAACATTATTGACCACCAGAGGACACGTGGAAAAATGCCAACATTTTTTACATAATGATATCGACACATAGAGTTCTTTCATAAAATTATTATTCAATTTTCTGCTCAGTTTATAAGTCTGTTTCAAAAAGATATTTGTAAGTTCATGGTTTTATGTTAGTTCCAACTAAAAACTGAATTCCCTTGTGAACCTAGAGATAGCTTTTAATTGGATATGTATTTCAATGAATTCATTATAGGTACTTAATCATGTTTGTAAACTTAGTATTTTAAATAAATTTCTCACATTTTTGTTAGGCCCTTTGTTTTTTTATATCTGTACTCTGTGTTTACAGATTTTATGCTTTATATTAATTGTTTTTTGTTTCTCTGTAGTTCTTTAGAATGTAGTATCACATGCCTTCAGACTCTTCTCAACATTTTACATTACAACAGTGTATTTAAAGATGTTTTTCGAGAAGTAGGCCTTCTAGAAGTGCTAGTGACCTGCCTTCACAGATATGCTACTCTGTTGAAGGAAGTGTGTGTGGAAGTTGATGGAGAATTTCAAGGTGACATTTTTTTGTACTTTTTCTGTTATAAGTTTTAGAAATATAACATTTTTACTTTTGATTATATTTGAAAAAAAAAAAAATAGTGTTTTTCTTGTGTTGTTTAACACTTTGGCTATGGGAATCTTTTCTGTGGATGTCGTGAGGTTTTAGTGAGTTACATTCAAAATTTAATTAAACTACTTTCTTATCATGGTATATGAATAAATGTGGAATAAAAAACATTGCTAATAATCCAAATTTTATTAGTATACAAATTTTAAGTTCTTAATCTTATAAGGCAATTAAAAAAACAAAATTCTGAATTTCCCCTAGTATGAGAATTGTGACATTTTCTCTCTAGTAATCTCCTCTTCTCTAATTTATTTACCACCCCTCAAAGGAGTACGAAATATAATGTAAATTACTCATTATAATGTTGTCATTGCTTGGACAAAGCATGATTTTTATAGCCTTCAATTTTATTTAGTTACAGAGCCATCAAATAAAAAATCAGACCCCTCTTGCCATGCCACCCTGTCAGATCCTCTCTTTCAAAAATTGCCAGTAGTTCTCTCTGATGTTTAATACTATATTATTTATAACCAATAGAAAGCCAGATATTTAATATATCAAATTACATATTATACTACATTGTTTTCTACACAGAGAATTGTCTATTTTGGTCACAGTTCAATCTTTATTCCCACAGGAAACACATTGATGTGGAGATTGGTGGATACTAATGTACAGTGTTTTGTTTTGCAGCTCCTGTAGTTATTCCTCATGAAGAGTGTAAGCTTGGATCATTAGTGATGGAGGCTCATATTGTCCTGCTGAAAAACAATGTAAACAATGCTAGTAAGTAACCAATCAAAATTTCCCATTTTGTATTTTAAGTTCAAATGTAGTTCTTGAACTTGATGATCAGGCTTGCTACAGTAAAAATTGAGTGAAAAGATGACCATTTTAGGATAGTAAAACTTCATATCTCTAAGTTATGGCAAGTGTGTGAACTTTGTGCTCTACATTATACCCCACACACTTTTCTCAATCTTCTGAAATTACCTGTTCCTGCTCTCATCAGTATTACTGCATTTGTTTCGTTAGATGGAGTAAGAAGTGTATCATGGTATTTGATCTATGTAAAATTACATTGAATATGCAAATTTTGGGTGAAGTTACATCTATTTTTAATTTTGTTAGTTGTAAAAGATGTCTTAAAAACATAGCAACACAAAGGCTTTCTCATACATAAATACTCAAAAAGGAAATCTTTATCATTATCGTGGCAATTTTCTGGGTTTTATTTCCAGTCTGTGATTGTCATAGATAGCATGCTGTATAATGATGAGACATTACTATATTTCCTCTTTAAAGGCTTGGAGGTACATAATTGTGGATTTGTTTTTTACTATTTCAGCCTTCTAAACCTAACTTAGAAACATTGTTTTTCACTGTTCAGTTTCTTTAACACTAATATTTATCGATATGAAATGTTTTTTGTAATATTTTGATAAATGGCTCTTTTAACCAGAGTTTTTAATACAAAACATTGCTGAAGAGAGACCTCTAGAAATATTGGTCTGTGTTTCTTACAATGGTTACCTTGTTTATACCTTTTTATAGAATAGAAAAATATTGGAAATGAGAGTTTATTTATTTGTTTAGCATGTATGATATTTATATTGTTGACTAACAAAGAATTTCATTGGTATCTTCTAGTCTGTCGGGATATTTGTACGAATAATTTTTAGAGTCCATAATCAGTTTAAAAAAAAATGATTTTTTTATTTTTAAATGTTTACTGTCTTATGTGGTTTTTAAGTTTTGTGTTTTAATTCATATTTAACAACTTTCCTTCTTAGATGTGTTTCGGGAATGTGGTGGAGCTCGATGTGCCCACAATTTAGTTCCCTATCCAAATTGTCGCAACGATGCTTTAGGAATTGTTCAGCAGTTGGTACTGAATACAGGAGGGGATGATGATATGGGAACTTTATTAGGTTTGATGCATTCTGCTCCTATAAAAGCTTTAGACCTGAAGGTGGATATATTAAAGGTACGTCTAGGAGCGGTCGTGTGAAATGGCTTTCTGTGGAATGATCTTAATTTTGTAGTGTCTGTCTGTGTGGTGATGTTTTATTTCTTTACCTTAGTCATCATGTAACTCTGTGTATTAATGTATATATATATATGAATAATTTAAGTCTCCAGTTATCTTCTCCAGTGTGGAACTTTTAAGATTTGTATTGATAATTTTCAAAAATGCATATTTCTGTGTAGTTGCGTATGTACCCAAACCAGTACTTATATGAGATTTTGTGTGTTGAATTGTATATCTTCATCACTCCTTAATCTCAATCTTTTTAATGTCACTTTTAATAGTTTGTTCTGGTTGTATTCAGTACTGTTTAATTTTAATTACTTACTAGCTACTTATTAGTATAAGATCTCTAATAGCTTTAAATTTTATAGTTAAACTTCATCTTTAAGTGAAGTTTTCCGTACATCCTAAGTTATTATGTTTTGCTCATCGCTAATATTTGACATGGAAAATAAAATAACTTCAGTTTCCTGATATACAGTCGATAAAATTTTGCTTTCAATGAGTTGTATATAAGTTTTGAACAGGATGCTTGTGACAAAATTGTAAAAACATAACACCAAACAGAATAACAACTAAGTTTCCAAGAGTCTTGGGTTGTGTACCAAAAATATATTCAAAGTACTGCTATATATACTTCTTAAATAGATTTCTAATTTACCTGTAGAATATTTTACAATATTTTTTGAGGAATTTCAAATTGAGGTTGTTGTGTTACTTATTCACCCAAACTTTTACAGTAGGCCTGGCATGACCAGGTGGTTAGGGAGCTCGACTCGCAATCTGTGGGTCGTGGGTTCGAATCCTCGTCACACCAAACATGCTCGCCCTTTCAGTCATGGGGGCATTATAATGTGACGGTCAATCCCACTATTCGTTAGTAAAAGAGTAGCCCAAGAGTTTGCAATGGGTGATGTTGACTAGTATCATTCCCCCTAGTCTTACACTGCTAAATTACGGACAGCTAGTGCAGATAGCCCTCGTATAGCTTTCCTAAATTAGGGATGGCTAGTGCAGATAGCCCTCGTATAGCTTTTCTAAATTAGGGACAGCTAGCACAGATAGCCCTCGTGTAGCTTTGCTAAATTAGTGACGGCTAGCACAGATAGCCCTCGTGTAGCTTTGCTCGAAATTCAAAAACAAACAAACATTTACAGTGATGTTTGAAAATGTAAAGGTGGATAGAAGGATGTATGTGTGAAAGCTTCAGAAGAGTCATCATTATTACAATTAATTGAGCTTCATGTCATAACTGAATGCAAACAGTCCTTATTACTATAGTGCACGTTAGATACTAACACATCCAATTATGCAAAAGAAGAACTAACTTGGCTTTATTTTGTTTTTTATTAGTCACTTTTGTATGTGTTGGGAGAAAGTCATCGCACAAGAACAGTTTTTCGAAAAGTTGGAGGATTTGTATACGTAGTCTCGGTTCTTGTGTCTATGGAAGGGTGCCTTGCTGATCCACCTAGACCCCCTTGGAATGATGGTTAGTGTAATTGGAAATTATGTTCCACTATCCAGATAAAACTCATTATCTCATTTATCTTGTTTTGAAATTGGTTTGTATTATTTTGATCAATCAATATATTTTAAAACAATTGTTTCATTTTTACTTCCTTGCTGATAGCAGTATTTTAACTCTGTGAAATACAAATGTAGTTGAATATATATTTTTTGTGGTTTGTCAGGTATTTACCACCTAATTTGATATATAATTTTCATTAACTACTAACCGTTTCTCTCCTTGTCCACAGTGGTGCATGCATTATTTTCGAATATCATCATCAGTTCACTAGTCTGTGGAACATAAGGTGATATTACACTAAAATTGAGTAGTTACACCATATACAGTAACAACAGCTCACTAGTCACAGTTCACTAGTCTGTGGAACATAAGGTGATATTACACTAAAATTGAGTAGTTGCACCATATACAGTAAAAGGTGTTTAGATTTCCCGAACATGTCAAACTGATGGTAAAAACAATTATAAGACATTTGCTCTGGTTAGTGTGTAACGAAAAGCTGTTTGTCAGAGTTATTCCACAAACATTTTTTTGAAGTTGTTTTTACGTTGTTTAACTTTTATCTCTAACAGTAGTTTGACTTTTTAAACAGATATACAGAGTTTTGACAATAAAATAGAAATACTTGCTTAAGTATGTGCCCATTTTTTTTTCTTCTCAATTTTAAATGGACTAGATCCTCAGCTAATTGATTAATTTGTTATTCCAATGACCTCTTAGTTAGAAACTGCTGTGCCTTATGTCAGATTGTCTCCTTGAAGAATGGAACCTAAGACTTCAGAACAGCCGAAGGCTGGAACCACACGTTATTAAATTGCTTTTACTGAGTGTTTCTAGTTTTCGTCCAACTCCTGTTTGTATAAAGTATAAGGACAATGCAAGGATAATATTTGAAGATCTTAAAAGTTATAATAAGTATGACAAAGAGACAATAATAGTTGAAGTACCTATTCTGTTATTCTTTATACTGATTTATAAATTGTTTGTTTCAGTTCCTCAGAAAGAGATTCTCATATTGCTAAGAACAGTACTTCATACTTTGACTATGGCTATGCGATATGAACCTGGAAATGCAAGATTTTTTGCCTCTGAGGTAGTATTCAGAACATTTAGTTTACTTTCATGTAAGATATGGTAATAGTGCTCTTAAACAGTTGATCAGAGTTTACTGTACATGACAGTAAAAGTTTGGAAAGATTGAAAATAGTTATAGTACTTTTCTTTTCAGCAGTTAGCTTTGTCAGAATAAGAAAGCCATGTGGGTTTTATTTGTTACTTTGTCATGTAATTTGTGTGAAGATAGTTAGCAAAATGAAGAATAATTACTTTTATATTGAAATTTAGATAATTATATTTTGAGAAAATTTATATAGATCATAAGTAGAAAGGCTTGTTAATAATTCTGTGTATGATTTTCACATGCTATTGCATGGGGTATTTACTCACGAGCTAGAATAACTGACGATTTTATTAGGACCTTGCGTGTCACCAGATAACCATCTACATATATGGCTTGTTGTGGCAGAAAATGCCATTGTTTCGTGCAAGTTACGTGTTGATTAGTACTGCAACGGTCGAGATATCGGTGTGACAGACAGACGGCTTTTCATGTTTATATAGTAGATGACCGACCTCTTTAACATGTACCAGTAAATAGCATGTTATACCTTGATGTAAATGTTCTAATAAAATTTTCAGTTAGTGCTTTAGGTTCTTGTTTTGACATAAAACTGTAATTAAAACAGATCAAGTAAGAAAAATATATGCTGTACAAATTCAAAACATTTTTTTCAAATTAAATAAATTATTGGTTTGACAATAAATAATACACTTGAAAACAGCGCATGAGATAACCGCTAATCTAGTGATGATAGTCAAAATTATGAACCTAGACTCAACAGAGGAATGTGTAAACAGCGTTGACAATGGGAAACATTTGTCCCAGTCACAGTGAATGGGTTAAAACCTTGGTTTGAGACACACATAATTTAATTTCAAACTAAATTGTATGTAGAAGCTAATGAATGAAAAAGTTAATTTATTTTTTAAATTTGTAATGAAATGTAGATATAATCAGGGTAGTTCCCTGTATACATTTCTTCTCAAAAAATTGTAAATGAATAGTTTTTGAAAGTTGCATTTCTGATTTTTTTCTTCTATTTTATGGAGACATTTAGAGCTATTTTCCAAAAGATGAATGTTATAAGATATTTTAATTGACTTGCAGATCTATAACCCATTCAGTGCTGTGAACATAATGAATCTAAATCAAAACTGGTATTATTATTTTTTTAAATATTAGTCTGCATGTATCATTCATCTCCTGAAAGTTAAAAATAGGAAATTTACTTTCAACTGTTATAAATAGCTTTAAGTTAAAACCAAAAAGCATACAGGGCATGGAGAGATTTTGAAGTTTCCCATATGATATGAAACACTTTGACAAAAGCTTTGAAGTTTATAAATGTAAGCTTAGAAATTATTGAGAAATAATTTTTCAAAGATTTTAAAAGATAGTCCTACATTTGCATCTATAATTTCTTTCAGTGACAAGTTAAAAGATTCTACTGTTTACGATTTCAATGAAAAATTCGAAGGTTACTTACATGATTGTCTTCGTGAAGTAAATAATGACCAAAATAACTTTTCTTTTCTCCTTCATGTTCTTCCAGATATGCCAAACAAGTCTGACAGATACAGTAAGGCTACTTGGTTGTTTTTCATCTGAGAAAGAGGTGACAACCCTTAGTAATCCTGAACTTTCCGGAACAGATTTTTTTCATTCACTTTTCATAGCTGAAGACATTTGGTATGTTGTTTTGATAAATGTTTGTAATGTATACTAGTGTTAACTTTCTGTCATCTAGATTCCTTAAACTCATTAAATCCGATACTACCTTTTGTGTGTACTGCTGTGTTCTTCAGTTAGCATTTTATCTGTTCTGTTTCAAAAGGAAGGTATTTGGTAATTACATTTTATGTAACAAATTATCTTAACGATAAAGTGGTCTAATGATTGGTGTGTTGGATTGTGAATTTGAGGGTCCGTGAGATTTTTAGCCCATTCGTCACAAAGTTGTGTTCTGCCATTGGGGACATGGGAGCATTATAAGAATTTTGTTCTAACTGCCTTTGTTTCTTTGTCGTTCAATGGAGATAACATTTATTCTGCCCATGGGTGGTGAGGCTGTAACGCTGCATGTCACGCAAGAATGTAAACAGCCAGTGTCCTCCAAATGTAGGCCAGGTGATGTCTCAATGGTTACAGCCACCCATTTGTTTGAAAGAGAAGCCTCACATCGTGTGGATAAATCCAACATTTCCTGTTAACTATGAAATATTAGATTTAAATATTTATGTAACTGATTCTGAGTTAATTGGTTAGTGGGAATACATCTCGAGGGAAGAAAGAGAATTTAATATATTCACAAATCAGTGAAAGGTGACCATCCAGCATCCAGAATTAAGTACAAACACACACACACTGTATATTGTATCTTTGATTAATAGAGTGTTTTCATTGTGTGTAACTCATCATGTACAATATTTCTTTTCTCAATTTCACTTAGTTTAGCTAAATTCAATATATATCTTGTCAGTCCTCTTGTTATATATATGTCAGAGAAAGGATTTAATATACTTTCTTTTACTAAGTAATGTTATTGGCTGTGTAATCAACCAATACTCAGTGTTTATTTCCTACTGAATGTATGTTTTGTTTCTCCTAAATTATAATGGCTCGTGCACATAGCCCTTGTGTATCTTCATGTTAGTATTTAAAGCACACAATTGGGGGAACTAGAGATAAACTGCTTGTAACAATGTTGCTTCATATATTAAAGTTAAAGGTTATAATAATCTAAATTAATTATTTCAGTTGTATATGTCTTAATACTGCTGCATGGTTGAAAACCTCGGGTGATTCTGCAGTATAGAAATGTGGGATATCCATAAAAACTGAATTTAATAAGCACTTTATTGTTCTCTTATTATAAAGAAAGACTATCTTTGCTTGTTATGAAGACTAATATTGAATAGGCTCTCAGAGAATATGTTTAACATTATGTAGTATTGTCCGATGATGGATATAAAGCAGCGTTTCCCAAACTTTTTTGGCCACAGAACATTTTTCAGCTGTGAAAAAGCTTACGGAAGACTAGACACGTGAAAAATCGGTGTAGAGGGTATGTTGTGTGCACAGTGCCCTTTAGATTTGTATTTATTTAATCAAATTACATATTAAGTAATTTTTACATTTCAATGCATATAATATATTGTAGGTACAAACCTCACCAATAAGATATTATGTAGAATAGATATGGCATCTTCTATAATTCTTCTTCAATGTGAAATCAATATTATCTAATTCTAATACATAGGAAAATATTTCATAATAAGTTATGATCGTACAAAAAAAGTGTTGAATATTTTATTAAAATTTAAAATCATGATTTTCTTACGGAGCTCCTATCAATCTTGGATGGAACAGCAGTGTTCTGCGGAACATAGTTTGGGAAACGCTGATATAAAGTAACTAATAAGGAACTTAATTAAATGATTCTAATTATTTTTTAATCAATCAGTGAACCAGTGATGAGTGGAAGAGCTGTTCCAGTATCTCTTATTTCTGGCTGTTTGATCATGCGACTACTGTATCATATGGCATTAGACACATTTGACAGGTAATTATTTTTATGTTTATTCATTTTCTTAAGGAAACATTTTTAGCTCTTTTCCTGTTTTTTTTTTTGTCTGTGAATGAAGTTGATATCTTTAAATAAAGTTTTACCAATCTTTTTTTTGTTGTTGTTGTTGACAAGTAATTATGAGAAGAGGGGGACAACCAATTATTTAAGTTACAATTACCCTGAAGTAATTTATATTTATCTATAAATGAATTGCAAATAAATTTCTCAAATCTATGTTAGAATGATCCTAATGTGGTGAACATGCTCATATGATATTGATGGTAATTTTCAAGTGTTCTCTCACTTTTGACCTTGCTTGTTTTTTGGTAAGTGTATGAGATTTATTCAGAAAAATTATCTTACTGGTTTTAAAGAAACACTTAATAACAACTGACCATTGAATGTATAAGATAAGAATATGGCCATCTTATTTCATCATCATCTTTTTATCAAGTTTTCAAAGAATTTCACCAAACATTTTGTAAAAGTTACATACGTAATGAATATGAATGTAAATATGGTTACAGTCAGTATGTGGGTGCTTGGTTAGAAACATCAGTTTATGAAATTATGCCTTTGAAACCCCTCTTGTGAGACACTTGTGGAACTTGAATAAGTAGAAAAGTTATTTTTGAGTCTCACTTACATATAAAGATTGATGATAAATATTTTTTATTTGAAATTTTGGGTGTTTGTGAATTTCAAGCTAACGTTTAAGTTGGATGGTCAAGGAAACAAACAACTTTTTGCACCATAAATGTCACTATGACTCAGAAGTCATTGATCGATATTTCATGTAGTTCAACCTTATTTTGTCAGTTTCTAATGTCAAATTAACCCAAAATGTTATTCATCAGTTATAGTCTTATTGTTGACTTGATAACTATTATTGTTGACTAGGATATTTTTTATGCATAAAGAATTTAAAATACAGATAACCCTACATTTAAATGCTAACAGTATATTTATTGCTTCTTTTTTATCCGATTTAGATGAGTGATACAATGTGGTAGTTAAAGACTGCCTCTATTTTACCCTTTCATTTCTAGAAAAGAACGTAACTACTTAGGGATATTTTTCAGACATTTTCTTGAAGGTATTCTGCATCTAATAGCTATCCTTAAACTAATTCTAAGAACTCTGTATGCTCATGAGGTGTTTTTCACCAATACTAGAGTTCATCAAGCTGGTTCGGTTATGATTGACACAGTAGTGATATCAGTATGCTCATGAGGTGTTTTTGACCAATACTAGAGTTCATCAAGCTGGTTCGGTTATGATTGACACAGTAGTGATATCAGTATGCTCATGAGGTGTTTTTGACCAATACTAGAGTTCATTAAGCTAGAACCGGCTTGATGAACTCTAGTATTGGTCAAAAACACCTCATGAGCATACTGATATCACTACTGTGTCAATCATAACCGAACAGTTATGATTGACACAGTAGTGATATCAGTATGCTCATGAGGTGTTTTTGACCAATACTAGAGTTCATCAAGCCGGTTCGGTTATGACAGACACAGTAGTGATATCAGTATGCTCATGAGGTGTTTTTGACCAATACTAGAGTTCATCAAGCCGGTTCAGTTATGATAGACAAGTGATATGGATGCTACTTGCATTATCAAATTGCATGACAATAACTGTAATGGTGTGAACTAGAGTAAGTTGCTGAAGTGTAATTATTATCATCAGTGTTATGTTATGGCTTATACTTACTTGACCATGCTTCTGTTTTATTTTTACTCCGGGTGTTGTCACACCCAAATGGAAGATGAGTGTAGTGGTTTCTACAAGCTGTTTGAACTGCACTTTGAGACACATATGTGCATTCAAAGCCACTTATTAGCTGGGGGGAAATGCAAGTGCCTAGAAGCTTTTGAAAAACTTCTGGTTTAATAAACAACAATAATCCATCGGTGTGTGATGCATTTTCTCGTGCCTTTACTGAGCTTGAGTTGTGCTCTTCTAAGATTTTTAGATACACAGCTAAACTACAATGCTTTGGCTAAACATGACTTAAATTTAAAGCTAAAAGGTAAACCTGATACACAGGGAAGAAAGGTGATTATCCCTCCACCCCACAAAAGAAGTTATTATGTTATGCTGCCAGTACTTTCTTTTATCAATAGTTACGATTCATACACTTTGTTTTTCTGTGGTCAGGCCCAGTACTTAACCTGACTGATGTAACATAGTTTGTTTTGTTCATGATTTATAGTAAGTATATGTAAAATACAATAGTTTATAGATCATATTTCAAGAAATTCAACAAACTAGGCAACTTACTCTTTCCGTATGGGCTCGGTAGATGTGTCTGAGCTTGTAATCACAAAGAAACCATCAGTTTTTGTACTATAACTTTTAATATGTTTTGTGTTTCTTCCTGAAATTTGGCAAGTTTTCACTATACATTACAAGTCTTTTGTACACAAAAAAATTAGATTTTTTAAAGTTAAATGCTTTTACTGAAGATTTGTCCAGGAATATATGGAGTCAGAGTGTTGGCTGTTCCAACTTAAAAGTGATTTTCTCGTTAAGATTAAAAGTACTTTTCTTCATCTGAAATGTTTCAAATTTCATTTGTATAATCTCTAAAACCTCCTAAATGCATATCAAATGTTTTTTTTTTCAGTAAAACTTTATATTTTATCTGTTATTTTTCTCCCATACCTCTGTATACACATGGTTGATTTGACCAACCTTGTAATCACTATAAAAAATTACAAAATAAATCTAAATTACCCCTTTTTTACTTTTTAGAATGACTGCAAATTGTAACAGGAAACTACAGTTGTTCATTCTTAATAGCTTAAAACTTTTAACAGTATAGATCTGTTTATAATTAATTTTGTTTTATTGCCGTTGGAACTGTGTCTAACTAATAATCCTGCCACACAAGTTGTAATTTACTCAATGAATAATAATGGCTGGAGACGGCTTGAATGGGTAATGAAGAAAAAACTTTAATATACGTGTATGTTTAACATAACAGCAAATGTACAACGTTAAAAAAAAAAATATATATATATATATATATATATATATATATATATATATATATATATATATATATATATATACTACTACTACTACTACTACTAC